GTCTGACAGGTCATCTCCCAGTGATCTAGGGTAAGGTATTAAACTGTCCAGCCTCACAGTTCTCCTCTGTGGAGGGTTTAATGTGATCATGCTCGTAAAGAGTCGGGAAAGATGTGGTGGGATCTCAAAGAATTGGTTGAAGAGACAGTGTAGGACTGAGGAAGACTAATTATGGATTCAGTGTTCCCTCCCTCCAGGACACCTTCCTGGACTGTGGTTCGCCTCCTCTGGGCACTAGTCACTGACATTCCTGATGACGCTCCGTGACTACATGCTTCTGTCACATGCTGACACTCAGTGCAATGGTGAACACATTTTATGGTGCAAGAAGTGGGCTGGGAGTGAGGTGGAGAGCCGGAGGAAGAAGCGGGGATGTGCTGTTGACTGTTCAAAAGCCAGCATTCTGGATGAGAAAAACTCTTATTCGGAGCTGTTGCTGATTTCCGCAGTGCACACCCTCTCTCACCATGGCTGAGTCCAAGCTACCAATGGTTTAACAACTGGCTTGCAAATGTCCTAAAGATTTGACAATCAGCAGCAGCGTGATTGGATCCAGCAGACCACAGAAAAGACACCGGTCCACAGAGAGCTTGCAGACCAGGTTTGTAGGCGGGCTCCAGGGACACACCTGGTAAATAACAACAACTGATTGCAAAGCATTTAAGAGTGGTTATAAGGTGGCGCAGAGCTGCACCAAGAAACCATTTACATGGGAGGATAATCCGTAAAAGGAAGGGTCAGAGTTAGCTCAGCACTGGTGTTCTAGAGGAGAAAGGCCCCCTACCTACAGAAGGAAGGTAGATCGTTCAGTGTCCACAAATGGCATTGGTAAGTGTTTGAAGGTGGAATCTAGACTGTCAGGCTCAGGGATAAGATTGGCTCAGCACAGAGAAAGAACACACAGTGAGTGAGTGGCTTAGATCTTGGGGTCTGCGGTCTGAGAAAGGTGGGTTTGAATCTTGGCTTCACTGCCCACATAGGTTTTATGATGCTAATCCATCTACGTTTTAGCGATGTTGCATGGATTACATGAGATAACACTGGTAAAATGTTGGCACAGTGCCTGGAGTTAGTGAGGGCTCAGTGAATGGCAGCCATTTCTGTTGCTGTTTGTCTTGTCCCTTTCTTCATGCCCAGTGTCCCTGAGAACAGAAATCTTCTTCTCCAAACCCAGCACAGGGTGTGGCACATCCTGGGTGCCTAGCTCAAGTATTCTGACTGATGGCACGTCTCTGGACCAAGGCAGGACACCAGGGCATTTGTAGGTTGCTTCTCCCTGCGCCCTTTCTGTCCGGAGTCATGGGGCAGCTTCGAGAAGCTTTGGGGTCACTACCTTCTTTTGGGTGGTGGAGTCTGTGACCTTGACATTTCCAGAGGGGCTGCTGCTCCCTGGCCCTTTTGTATCTTCTCACCCTGTCCTGTGGATGCAGCAAGAAAGGTGCTGGCCTGTGGGGATCCTTTGGCTTGTTCCATACATGCTTATCAAGCACCTGGGCCTGGCACTCTGCTAGCCACTGGGAAGCAAGATGAATAAGACGGAGTCCTGCGCTCAAGGTCTCACTGCTGGCAGGTGAGGGCACTCAGCTATAAGTCAGTGCTTAGGTGCTGTGACAGAGGACAGTGTCCCTACCATGGCGGGCCTCAGCAAAGGCTCTGCCTCACCTGCACATTAGGCCTGTGCATGTGACATGCCAAGGTCCCCAGAAACTCTAGAGGCTTCCACAAAGCCCTTTCTAAATCCTCAAAACACAAGCCCTATAAAGCAACACAATGTAAAATTTATCTTCATCTTTCGGGAATGGGGTGTTAAACATGTCCAGCACATCAGCTAAGATGTTGGCGTTATTATGGTTGAGAATTGCCTTGGTACACCCTGCACCCCCTGCACCCCCATCTCTGCTGTGCTGCATGTGAGCTCCTGGTCAGCCCATTGCTCAGATGGTCCAATTCTGACATCACTTAGCATTTGATAGAAGACTGTACCCTTACTCTTTCTCCTCCTCTCTCCTGCTTTTCTCATTTTTATGCTTATTCCCCTTGTTTTATTTAAAAAAAAAACTATTCGCCTCTCAAACCTTCAAAGAACTCTTACAGGTCCACAATGGTCCTAGGGGTACAGCAATTGCTCACTCTCAGCTAAATTTTTTTGTACTGTTTTTCAGTCTGTAGAACAAAGTATTGATTCCAGGTTACCAGCATTCCACTGAGAGGGATGTTCTGTCAGCACCAAAGGCAGTCGTGGAAAGGCAGAGAATCTAGCTGTGTGTGTGCATGCACACACACACACACACACACTCTCTCTCTCTCTCTCTCTCTCTCTGAGGCAGGACAAGTCAGGACCCAGGTAGGCCAGCAGATGACCTGAAATCCTAGAAAGGGAGAGAAGGAAACATGAAGGAATTTAAGAATCGAATAGACCCAAGCAAACGATCAGGCAGGGTGGCCAGTAATGGGCAGTTAGGAGCCAAAGAGGGAAGGGTCAGGGGAAGGGGAGGCCGTGATGGGGAGCACAGGCTCTGGGGAGACTTTCTTACTAGAGCAGCTCCAAACATAAAAGGATTCCTCTGTGTTTCCCCCTGGAGTGAATCTGCTCATGGCCATGGACAGTGCCAGGAGAGCGGACTTACGGATGAACACGACGGCAAAAATTGACGGGAGTGCAGGGAAACTTTCATCAGCTTTGACTTTTATTCCTGACTCACTTTTCAGGTGGTGAGTGACTGAACATTTTTGTAGTGACCCGCCAGGCTTTAAACAGGAATACGGCCTTACCTATCTCCTCTGTTGGCAAGGACATGGCCTCTGACCTGTGTTTCCAAGGGTGGGAGTAGGTTTTGCTGAGCCACTCACACTGTCTCCTCAGCTGGGTTCTGGCCTGAGATGCATGTTGTGACCAGTTTCAAAGGACATCCTTAGTGTATTAATTTTTAAAGACTTTTAGATTTTGAAATCCATGTAATTGTTCATGATTAATTCTTTCCTTGGCAATTCAGAACCAAATGACAGTCCATTTCTGAAAGTCTGCCTATCGGATCACCATTTTCTTTATAATTCACCCTTGGCCTCATCCTGTTTTCCTCATCCTCGTTGCCTCACTTATTTTTCTTAATCTCTCTGTGCATATAATCTACCTCAGTTCTTTTATAAATAAGCCTTAGAGTTAAATAAGAGTGATCTCTCTACTATTCTGCGTCTACATTGAATAAATATATATTGACAGTCCATTGAATGGCTTGTGGATTAATACTTAAAATCTCAACAAACAATATTGGGCCCTTTAGGGCTAGATATTAAAGCAAACACCAGAGGCTGCCCTCAAGGAGATTCTAGGCCCAAATCAGACAAAAGAAATATATAACAAAATTAAAGAGGTATTACAAATGGAGAGGTTTCGCTTGCTCCTTCATCCATTTCAGGAACATTACTGAGGACCTGAAATGTATTATTATTGAATTATTTCTTGTGGAAAAGCCGTTGGTTCACACAGACAGTATGCACCTCTGTCGTGGTGAGGCCGTGGGCTGGGCTGGCTTTCGGGAGGAGGTGATGTGTGGCTCGAGCAGAGCAATAGTACAGTGGAGTAGAGCCTTGGCACCTTCCTTCGGGATGCGAGCGGAAGCCAATCCAGCATTTCTTCCTCACTTACCATAGATGCCTTTTTGTCTGGGCTAAGGAGGTGAATGTTTCCTCCAAAGATTGCTTAAACTCCCAGACTTCTCTGCCTGTAGGCAGTGTGGCTTTCCCAAGCTGCTCTGCTAGCCGTCCCCGGCTCCTCCCACCTCTTCTTAAACAGTGTCCAGAGCTTGAGCCAGACAGCCTGCAGGCCAGTGGGTGCAGGCAGCCAGCTCTCACCTACCCAGTGCCATGGAAGCCCAGCTCTGAATGGCTCTCAGATCCTCACGGCTGTCGGGAGGAGCGGAGCCAGGGCAGGCCAGGATGGCAGATGGCTCAGGGTGGCATGCTGTCTTCAGATGCCCTCTACCTTTGCTGCCGGTGCCATCGGAAGCTGTCGGTTACTGTTTTTAGCTTGGCTGTCCATGGGCTGGAGGAGAGAGCTTTTGTAGTCACTCAGGAATGCGGGGTATTTTTAGCGACGAGATTCTGCTTCAGGCATGTGCACCGCGCTCTTCCAGTTATAGGCATGGAAGGGGGGGGGCTGGGCCAAAGACTTGAGGTCTCAGCAGGCTCAGCTGAGAAGTTCATAGAAAAAAAAGGGGGTGTGGGATGTATAAGCGGGACCTTCTGGTCCCACGGGACTTTGTTTTTTATAAAAGTCGTGTCACCTCATTCCTCCTCGGAAGCTGCTGCGCAGGTGAAATGGAGGAGGACCCCGGGAAGGAAGGGAAGTGGGAGAGAAACGGGGGCTGACGTCCAAGATCTCACCCAAGACGAACTCCTGGGCCATGGGAATCACGTGTATGGGGCCCGACCCAGAGAGGAGGGGTGGTTGTGAAACGAAGACTCGTTGAAGCCCTTTTCTTGAGCTTGAAATCAGTTTGTGGTTATTTATTTTTTGATTGATGCACAAGAAATAATGAATGAACAAATATTTGCTCATTCATTTATTCACTCATGCTAGAGCGACATACAGTTTTTAGTTTAAAAGATTTACAAATTACTGAGCTTAATCCATTCTTTTGCTTCTCTTCCTTGCCTGACTCTCCTGCCCTCGTCCCCGGACCCCTCCTTTCAAAGGTGAGGAAACTGAAGCCCAGAGAGGTTAAGTGACTCACCCAAGGCCATACTAATTAGCAGCAGGTTTGGGACTGGGCTCCAGGTGTCCTGACACCCAATTCCCTGTTTTCTATATTGTCTACATGTATTATATTTTGGAAACATCTCTGTGACCTTTTGTTCTTATTTTAATGTACAGATTAAATAACTTAAAATACTGCCTGCAGTAGCAGTGGGCAGGGTTCATGCTAGAATCTTGGAACTATGAGGATTAAAAAATTTCTTTCTTGGCTACCTTTGTTTGGTTTCCTTCTGTTCAAATGTAGCTCCCATTTATTGAGCACCTGCTACACAGAAAGCACTGTGCCTGGTACATTCACATGGATTATGCTGCAAACTCAACAGCCTTCAACGCAAGCATCAGACCCACATTTTCGGATCTGAAAACAGAGATACAGAGGGGATAAGTGATTGATCAAGATCAAATACCAGCAAGTGACGGAGCCAGAATTTAAAATCAGGTCTGTCTGCCAGAAAGACCAGTGTTCTTTCCCCTGACCCCCAGCTGTTTTAATAATGCCTTGGGAACTGTGTTGCTCTGTGTCTTGGGTACGATGGTGGGCTCTCTGATTAGTTGAATGTGCTATACACTTGCAATGTGGATTTTCATGGAAGTATAGATGTAGTCCGTTCCTTCACACTCTTACATCACTAATAAATGAAATGTCTCTTTTCCCTTGAGAATTCTTTCTAGCCTGTTTCTTTAGACCCTCAGCTTTGTTTTATAGCTGCTAACAGTATCCCTGGCCTCTTACCCTTGTTCTAGAGTTGTTTTTGTGTATGTTTTGTCTCTCCAGTGAATTGAAAAAATACAATTTAGTGTAATTGAATGAGGGATTATCGAATGCCTCCCAAGAAGCTAGGAGCTGGGTCACAGAGGTATATCCTGACAGGACTGAGCCTTGAGCCACTTGTTTATTCTTTTAACAAACATGGTGCCAGGCAGTCTTCAGGTGTGAACAGTCTAGTAGGGAGATGACAAGTACACAAGAAAACCTGAACATCCCAGACACCTCCAACATTGTGGGTCAAAGGAGCGCACACTGATGTTGGCTGCTCAGTGGGCCCCAGTCGCCAGCAATTCACTGGTGTCTCCAAGTGTCCAGGAGAGAGCTCACTGTGTCCCCTTGACCTTCTCAGATGAAACAGGCGTCCTGTACCTTTAGCTTATCATTGCACAAAGGTTTCAACATCCCATTTGAAATACTGAGGATACCAAAGGTCCTAAAATGACACGGGGAATCATGAGGAGAACAGGGGGTCTGATTTTTCTCAGGTAGTGAGGTTCCCGGGTTGGGTGGGGGAGGAGAGCCATCAGCTTACTGTCTCATTAGGATGGCATGGCTTGCTATAGCAGATAGTGTGTGAGCCAACATGTGGCTGAGATAAACATACCCTAGGAGTTTAGAGAAAGTTGTGATCAGTACGTATTGGGATCATCAGAGAGGACTTAAAGGTGAAACCACAGGCCCAGAGCCACCTGTGAACTGATTGCTGCCAAAAGTGGCACCCCAGGTCTCCCATTCCCCTACCCCCCATCTCCCTGGCTCACTCTTCTCAGGCGATAGCAATGGAGAACAAATGCTGTGTTCAGTTCACCTCCCTACTTAATTCAGTTCCTTTTAGACCACACAGTTTCTGTTTTAAGCAAAGCCTCCACAGGGGTGGCTCTGCGGATCCCCTCTTGTTCTGCCCTGCAACAATGGGATGGCGGCAGATTGTGGCAGACGGAGGTGGCCGCTGTGGCTGCTCTGCCCGAAAGGCGCAAATGCTGCCTTTCAAGTCTGTGGCCGTAACTCAATCTCCCTTTCACTTCTATCTGTGGGATGAAGCCAGGTGGGAAAGTGAGTGGGGAGAAGGTGGGGGCAGTGGTGACCTATTCAGGGTGTGTGAAGAAGGATTCTTTCTTCACCTGGGAAATCAATGTGCACTTTTGATGTTGCCCATGTCTATCTCTATCTCTCCCTCCCTTTAGGGCCACCCCATGTGGGCACCAGGTCTCGAGCCAGGTTGATAAGAATTAGAAGATGGAGGACAAAACCCTTCTGCAAGGCAACAGGACTTTCTCCAGGTTGTCTGGCTCCGTTCCGCTGAACCTGTCATCAGCATCTCCGAGTCACAAAATGTCGGGCTGGAGCTGCTGTCCTTGGAAAGAAGGGAAGTTGGCACTCGTTCTTGTCCATGGCAATGATCCTGAAAGGTTTCCTGTTTAACATTTTATTTGTATTAAAGAAAAAGTAGCATCTCCAAACTGGAGAGGATTCAGTGTGTGTGTGTGTGTGTGTGTGTGTGTGATCAGAATCGACTCCTCAGTAGCAGCCATTTTCAACATGATCCTTGTGTTTGCTTGGCAAAATCCAGGATTGGAAAAACAAAAGGTTTTCCTGCCAGAGTCCCTTAATTTCAGTAGCAGCAGGAGCAGTGGGAACCTGGTTCCCTCGGATGCATGTTTGATGAGGATGGCCAGGGGTGAGGCTGGGAGTCTTGTGGGGTGTTTTCCAGTGAATGTGTCGGCTTTCTCTGCCCTTCTTTTCTCTTGTACAAGAACACGTGGCCAGAGTGAAGGACAAATGAACTGGCAGCGTACCAGGAGTAGGGAGGGACAGGAGGGCTCAGAGAGGGGGCAAGGGTATGGGAGAAATGGACACTGTGGGGTTGCAGGGGAGAGGTCAAGGGTCACCCCTCACCTGCTGGGTCTGGAGAGTGTCCAAGGAGCCTGGTGTTGGAATGTGAGACCGAAGGATGAGTCCCGAGGTGCCTGCCCTATGGGGTCACAGCACACTGCCTGGAAAACAGAGGCTGCCTAGTTACAGGGGATGATACAGACGGAGGGGCCAGCAGCCCAGAGTGAGCAGGAGTAGCTGGGGAATTTCCACTGGCTCCATGGTGAGGTCGGCTTGTGTGTGAACCCCCTGCAGCTTTTTAGGAGTCCTGAGAGCAGCCTGGAGGGGGCCTGGGATCTTGTGGGGCCCTGCTCGTGGGGATGATCCTGAAATCTGGACCTGCAGTCTGAGGGACCTGACAAAGAGTGGATAAAGAGCTGTTAGCTCAGTTATTTATTAGTTGTATTCTTTCTCACCCCTTTCTTAGCCTTTATGATCTGGGAAGAAACTTCATAGAACTGAGAGGGCCAGTGAGTATGTGACCAGCACAGTGAGCTCACTAGAAGGTCACCGGCTTCCACATGAGGTCAGAGGAAAGGTGGACAGTGGTCCCTAAGGAGTTGGAACCACTCATCTCCGGAGTAAAGATCTGCTTATCACCCCAGGAACTGGGGCACCACTGGATCAGATCACTCCTCTGAATTATCTGGTTAATCACAGCTCTCCTGTACAGACTCCAAAGTGTCCAAGGGGTTACTTAAAAGACATTCAGCAACAGCTACACCCTCCCCTCCCCCCACAAATACCTCCAGCCCTTTTGCAAAGCACTAAGTCATCCTGATAGTGGTGACTTAGGTGGATGACAAAGCAGCTTCACTCCCTGAGTCCTTGCTGTGGCTCACTGCCATCCTGTGGTGCCACAGCTAGTCCTCTGAAGGAATGGTTATCTTCATTTTACAAATGGGGAAACAGACTTGCAGACCTTGACTTGCCCACAGACACATAGAGCTGCGACTTGAACTTGGGTGTGTGTACCTGCAAGGCCTGGCTGGAGCACCCCCAAGGGTGAGCCAGTCCTGGTGCTGGAGCTCCTCTGCTCGCCCAGATGAGCTAGAAAAGAGTGGGAGTCCGGGCCCCCAGGGTCCTCCTTGCAGGCCTGGGACAGCTGAGAGGAGAGCTCAGCTTTGCCAGGGTCATGTCAGTAAGTCAAGTTGAAGACTGCATCTGGATTCCTCTTGTTGACTGGGGTCTTCCAGGATAGATTTGTGTGTGTGTGTGTGTGTGTGTGTGCGTGTGTGTGTGCATGTGTATGCTTGCACACATGCACAGGCATGACAGAGAGGCAGAGACAGAGATGGACTGCAAAGGAAGGCAAGATTCTTTGTAGCAGATTACCTGGGAAGCCCCTATGGAATGGATTTTGCTCATTCCCTCCGTGTAAGTGTGAAAGTGAAGGACTAAAAAAGGAATAGAATAGGACAGAGGCTGAGCGTGAACCAGCCCTCGCAGGCTTGACTATCATCTGGAATTTTAAGGTCTAAGAAATAGCTCGTCTGTTGTCCAACGCTTGGACAAGCATCCAACATGGAAGCAGACCATGGAAACCTACTTTTTTCTGAGATACTGAAGATGCCCTTTGATCAACTGACTGACTACTTAAGATTATGGCAAACATGTTACCCATTTAATGTTGCCCCTTTTAAATACATTTTTGTTGCAGGGTTTTAGAGTATTCTCTGTGGACATCGCTTTTTCTAAGTAGGAGGCTCTTCTTGCCTTGAGTTCGTTTGTGTGAACTTGACACTTCAAGATGAGTGAAAAATCCTGTGGGCTGCGTGGAAGAGATACATATTATACCTGGACTATCTGTGTGAACTGATGCATTTTCCAGCACTCCCTGTTAGGCAGGGACATGGGATGAATTCTGGTCAATGGACTCTAGCAGAAGTAATGGATGTCAAGTCTCAGTCAAAGCACAGAAGGGATATGAGTCCTCCCTTGCTGCATTCGATCTGGAAGCCACATGTTGAGATGTTGGTGTCACAGATGGACATCAGACCCACTGATCTGAAACAGACATGGGAGGAGCAAGAAATAATGTATTAAACCACTGAGATTTTAGGATTTGTTACCATAGTGTAGTCTAGCCTGACTTTCTGGAAGAAAATTCAGCACTGGGTTTTTATCCATCTTATTTTATTTTCGTGAAGGTGGGAAAGAGTATTAAAATAAGAAAATGGAAAGGAACACATTGGGGACGTTCCATTTGTTTGGCATTGATCTCACCTATCGCCAATGAGTCGATAAGTTTCCTGTCACCAGTGAAAGTGTAGGATTTATGCTTCTTTTCATCTTCCAGGTGCACAATACATGCTTGATAAATGGTGGTTGAACTGAGATGAGTGAAACTTGGCCCATTAAAATACAAGCTCCATGGGAAGCAATGTTTCAGTTTTGTCCATGGCTGTGTATCTGGCCTGTAGAGTAGTGCCTAACATATAGTGGATGCTTAATAAAAAGTTACTGGCTGAATCCCATCACTACAGACCTATAAGCTCCCTTGATGACCTGAACCAGAGTCCTCGAAGACTTTCCCTTACTGCTGGAAGTACCTGGAGAAACCTATGGCATCCATTCTCCGACCAGCTGCTACGAGAGCTGTGAGGTTCTTTTTTAAACTTGCGAGTTTTTCCCAAATCCAGCCACAAGACTGCTAGGTAACTGACAGCCAGAAGCTGAAGATGAGAGTCACACTTTATAACCTGCATTCCAGGAAAGATGGGTGCACCTGTGTAGACAGCCATGATGTGGGATCTCACACCCCTTCACTGCTGATGGGCAAGGTTAGAGGCATATCCCTATACCCTTATGGATGTTTCCACCGATTGCATCATGTCCTCCATGGAGTGAGGGTCAATTTTATATGTCAGTTTGGCTATGGTACCCAGTTATTATTCAAATATTAATCTAGGTTTTGTTGTGAAAGTATTTTGTAGGTGTGGGTCTCATCTGATCAGCTGAAGATGAGCCTAAGAGCCAAAATTGAGATTTTTGGGGAGAATTCTGCTTCAAGACTGAAACTACTGACCTCCTTTCCCACCCCCTTGTTGACCTGCTGTTTAACTCAGTCCTATTTTTAATGAAAGCATTTTTATACAAGAGTAAGGCCAGATTGCGGAGGGCCCAGGAAAGTGATGGAGGGAATGTCAAGGCAGGTGCCTACCAGAAGTGAAGGATCACCTGGCTGAGAGGGAGGAGCTGCGGTGGGAAGGTGTTTTTGAGTTGCTCCAGGACCCTGAGAAGATGACACCCCTTGTCTCTTGTGGCACAGTGGGCCACCGGGCTTTTGCTGAAGGTTTCAGAGGGAACATTAGAAATGTTGCTGAGGGTCTTCATAGAGCTCAGACTTGCCTAGCTGGAGGGGTTATTGTGCCCTAAATCAGGAGGGAAGACACTGGGACACTTGGCTCTCTTGGCCAAGGTCATTCCTGAGCCAAAAGGGAGGATGAAATTGCTTGTGCCCTGATGGGAGAGGTGGACACTCCTGGCTTCGAGGCTGGTAGAGGTTGGCCCCAAGTGACTGAATGAGCTCATTGATAATGCAGCAAACCAAGGTGGCAGGTAATCAATTGGTGAGGCTGGTGACACAGATGGAAAGTGCATTGGGATATCAGGCTGAAGTGGTCAATGAGGAGTTCCTGGAGGATCGGGTCATTACAAATTGGTGCATTTCTGCATTTCTACTGGGGGTGATGGAAGTGGGCTGAGCCCAGCAGTGGGGAGGGGGCTTCTGAGAGGTCACAGATTGGTTGAATGCAAGGGCCACTCAGTCCTCTGTTTGTCTTCTGCCAGCTACACCAGTGGGCCTGGTGGGAGAGAGTGTGGCAGGGGCTAGCAGTGGGCTTGGTGAGTTGGTTACTCAGCACATTGGCACAGCCCATCGTATTGGCCGCCTTGCATGTTTTGTGGGTGTTCAGAAGTCTTGTTGCTCAATCCCAAATGTTCCCACTTGTTTTCCTAGCAGGTACAGGATGGCTGCTAACCAGCCCCTTCTGAAGCCTCGGTAGGCAGAACAATGAGCCTGGGCTGCTTCCTGTGAATTTGTTTGCATCCTTGGTCCCTGCCTCTGAAACTATTCCCTTTGGTGTATGCCGGGCAGACTGTCTATCAGGGAAGTCCTCCTTAAGTTCTGTCTGCAGAAACCAATTCTATTCTAGGCCATCCATCCTTAGACCAGCTGAGCAAGTGTCAGATGGGATGGGATAGGGGTGAGGGTAGAGGAGAGAGATGGCTTCACAATTATGGTGAGGAAGTTGATAAGGAGGGAGGGAGAAGAGACCTCCATGCCATTTCTTTGATGGGGACGCTGAGTATGATACACTGTGGCCTGAGAAAGCAGAGGGATGAGGTCCTGCTCCCCTTATGTCATGCTTTTCCTTTGCCCCAAATGACCTTTGCCCTCTCTACAGAGACGTCTCAGCATCCTAGTATGTTTTCTGCTGGAAGCAATTCCCACATTATGTAAAAGTCCCTGTTTCCCCCCTCAGAAGCTGAGTGGAGCAGCCATGCCCTGTCCTGCTCCCTGGTGTCTGGTTAGCATGCAGATACTGTGGTCTTGGATGACTGGATGCGTCCATCTACTTGGTGCTGGAAGCGGGATCCAGCAGGGGCAGTGTGCGTGCCCGACAGGACTGGTACCTGGGACTGCAGACGGGGCTGTGCCTGGGGGCAGTCTGGCTGGCCCTCAGTTCCCTGGCCTGCTTGCTCTTCCTGTTGGCTGCTTCTCCTGTATTCCCATCACCTCTGTGAGCAATCAGTTATCCTTCCGATAAATCTCTCTTCTGCTGAAGCTGGAGTTGCTTTCTGAGTTGACAACTGAGAATCATGACTGAGAGCGCTCCTGGAGCCCACAGAGCCCTTTCTACCTTTTCTTAAGCCCTTGGTATACATGCTGCTCTTTCGGTTTAAAAATCTTGTCTTCCTTTGTTACATGCTCCTTGGGAGAAGGGATTATATTAAATGTTATTTTCCCAAGAGTAACTCATTTTGTTTGCTCTGTAAATATTTATTGAATAATGAACAAATTAATAACTGTGTGGCTAAGTATGGGTCTTAGCTATCTACTGAGGCACAATGAATGATTCTAGGAAGGTGGAGTCGGTTGAATAGTATCCCTCCTTCTACTGTCCATCTGGAAACTCCGATTGGGACCTTATTTGGAAATAGGGTCTTTATACATGTAGTTAAAGTGAGGGTTGAGACAGGAACATGCTGGTATAGCATGGACCCTAATTCCAGGGAAAGTGTCCTTCTAACCTGTGGGAAAGGACATAGAGAGACACAGAGAAGGAGGCGATGTGAAGATGGAGGCAGAGATCAGAGTGATGTATCTATAACAAGGGAATGTTCAGGACTGTCGGCTAGGAGAGAGGCATGGGACATTTCTCCCTCAGAGCCTCCAAAAGAAGCAGTCCCCCCAACAGCTTGCTGTCTGACTTTCGGCCTCTTACACTGTGTGAGAATACATTTCTCTTGTTTCAAGCCACCCAAATTTATGGTGATTTGTTACAGCAGTCCCAGGAAACTAACACACTAGCAGAGAGAAAATACAGGCATGCCTCATTTTATTGCACTTTGGCTTACTGCATTTTGCAGATGAGATTTTTTTCTTTTTTATAAATGGAAGGTTTGTGGCAATCCTGTGTTGAACAAGTCTACTGGCACCATTTTTTCAATTACATTTGCTCACTTTGTGTGTCCATGTCACATTTTGGTAATCCTCACAATCTTTCAAACTTTTTCATTACTATTATATTTGTTATGGTGATCTGTGTTCAGTGGGGTAGTATTACTATTGTCATTTTGGGGTGGGGCGTCTCCATGAACTGTGCCCATATAAGAAGGCAAACCTAATTGACAAATGTTATGAGTGTCTTGATGGCTCCACTGATTAGCCAGAAATTCCCCCCAGCTCTCCCCCTCTCCTCAAACCTCCCTGTTCCCCGAAACACCGCAATGTTGAAATTAGGCCATTTAATAACCCTGCCATAGCTTCTAAGTGTTCAGCTGAGAGAAGGAGTCACATGTCTCTCACCTTAAATGAAAAGCTATAAATGATTAAATTTAGTGAAGAAGGCATGTTAAAGCCAAGATAAGCCAAAAGCTAGGCCCCTTGTGCCAAAATTGTGAATGTAAAGGAAAAATTCTTGAAGGAAATTAAAAGTGCTACTCCAGTGAATGCACAAAAGAAAGGGAAGCGGCCTATTGCTGATATGTAGAAAGTTCTAGTGTCTGGATAGAAGATCAAATGAGCCACAATATTCCCTTAAGCTAAAGTCTAATCCAGAGCAAGGCCCTAACTCTCTTCAAGTCTATGAAGGCTGAGAGCAGTGAGGAAGCTACAGAAGATTGAGTTTGAAGATAGCAGAGGTTGGTTCAGGATGTTTAAGGAAAGAAGCCGTCTCTATCTCAGCAAAGTATAGGTGAGGCGGCAAGTGTTGGTCAAGCTGCAGCAAGTTGTCTGGAAGATGTAGCTAAGATCATTCATGAACATGACTACACTAACCATCAGCTTTCATTACAAGGAGATGCCATCTAAGAGTTTGATAGTTAGAGAGGAGAAGTCAATGCCTGCCTTCAAAGCTTCGAAGACTGGCTGACTGTCTTGTTAGGGGCTAATGCAGCTGATCCCTGAAGTTGAAGCCAATGTTCATGGACCATTCTGACAGTCCTAGGGCCCTTAGGAATGATGCTAAATCTACTCTGCCTGTGCTTTAGAAATGGAACAACAAAGCCTGGATGACAGCATATCTGTTTACAACATGGTTTACTGAATATCTCAAGCCTACTATTGAGACCTACTGCTCATAAAAAAAAGATTCCTTTCAAAATTGTGCTCATTGACAATGCACCTGGTCACCCAAGAGCTCTGATGGAGATGGACTGATGTTTTCACTGCAGCCCATGGATCAAGGAGTCATTTTGACTTTACCATCTTCTTATTGAAGAAATACATTTCTTAAGGCTATAGCTGCCATTGATGGTGATTCCTCTGATGGATCTGGGTAAAGTCAATTCACAACCTTTCTGGAAAGGATTCACCATACTAGATACCATTAAGAACATTCGTGAGTCATGGGAAGAGGCCAAAATACCAACATTCACAGGAATTTAGAAGCAGTGAATTCCAACTCTCATGGATATAAAGAGTTTCAAAATATCAGAGGAGGAAGTAACAGCAAATGTGGTAGAAACTGCAGGAGAACTAGACTTAGAGGCGGAGCCTGAGAACCGCAGTGCTGCCAAGTCATGATACTTGAATGGCTGAGGAGTTGTTTCTCATGGCTGAGCAAGGAAAGTGGCTTTTTGAGATGGAATCTATTCCTGGTGAGGATGATACGAAGATTGTTGAAAGGACAACAAAGAATTTAGAATATTCCATAGGTTCACTGATAAAACTGTGGCAGGTTTTGAGAGGACTGATTCCAATTTTGAAAGAAGTTCTACTGTGGGTAAAATGCTATCGAACAGCATTCCATGCTAGAGAGAAATCGTTCATGAAAGGAAAACTCAATCCACGTGGCAAACTTCATTGTCTTTGTTCAAGAAATTACCACAGCCACCCCAACCTTCAGCAGCCTTCATCCTGACCAGTTAGCAGCTGTCAACACTGAGGCAAGACCCTCCACTAGCAGTAAGATCATGACGCACTGAAAGCTCAGATGTTGCTTAGCAGTTTTCAGCAATAAAATATTTTTAAAAATTAAGGTATATACATTGTTTTTTCAGACATAATGCTATTACACACTTACTAGACTACAGTATAGTGAAAACTCAACTTTTATATGTGCTGAGAAACCCTGAAATTCATTTGACTTGCTTTACTGGGCTATTTGCCTTATTGCAGTGGTCTGGAACCTAACCTGCAGTATGTCCCAGGTATGCCTGTACAATCTTTGAAAGACCTTCTAAGACTGACTATGGTTCAGAATGAGTAACTGGAAGCAGCAGAGGAGTTTAGGCAGATGCTCTGGGGAGAAGAAGGGTCTCTCTTCATACTCTGGAAAGCCTCGGGACAACTTGTTCACCTCTGGCTTTAGGGAGAACACCTTCCCCTGCCTCCCTATGCCCAGTGATCCTCTGCCCAGCCAGGTTGGGACGGTGACACTTTGGGCTGGAGTTGGGGCTGGCGGGGTCTTACATTGGCTTGCTCCAAATGAAAACGTAGAGTGGCAATATGGGATCCAGTGGCCCATTCGTTGACTCAATCAACAATTCATGGCTTGACTAATTAATTAACTAAATTATGAATTCAAAGTTGACTGTGAGCAAAGCTGTGCAGTTATTTCTTCACTCACCTCTGAAGTTTATTCCTGTATTGCACACAGGAATCAAATGCTTTTCCTACAGCTGAAAACCTTCCAGGGAAATAGAAAGGATCCACTATACTAATTCGTACCAAGTTAATCATACTAATCTTCGTGATCTAATGGATTTTTTCCTCCACAGTGTATTTGCTTCTTCAAAGCGAGATCTGGAAAACTCAATAACCTCTCTCTAGTGCTGGACGCTCACCTTGTGTTGTCATCAAGGTAAGACTTCCTCTATCCTATTTCTCATCCTGGAGCAATGATGCTGCCTGATTCTCTCAGTGACGAGCTAAGGGGTGGCCTCTCTGTGCAGTCTGGGGTGGGACAGGACTGGGTCAGGACAGGAGAAATCGAAGGAAACTCTCTGCCTTTGGGCAGCTTTACTCCCAGGAAAGCTCAGCCCAGGGTTTCCTCCTTGGGGTGGGGTTGACCTTGAGAGGGACATCGCCTTCCCACATCCCTTCCTCTGGGGCTCTTTCATGCCAGTCTGAACAGTCTGGAAATGGAAGCCCTGGACCCCTCCCCATTGCCGTTGTTATAATAAACTCCAGGATTGTATCTGTGGAGCCTCGGGCTTCAGGAATGCAGCCTGTAATTACCTCGCTTCTAAATGCTCATGGTAATGGATGGTGAGGCCTCGTGCATCAGACCAGTTAAATTGCTGTGCGACTCGGCCACAATTTAACTTGGCAGACAACACGCTTAAACTTGGCAAATGGAGATAATGTGCACTGTTTGGGGACTGTTAAACTTTTCAAACAACCTGGGAAGTGCCAGGGAAGTTTCTGGAAGGGAGAAGTTAAGTTGGTAAAGTCTGGACCATGAGTTGATTGAGCATGACCATTTTGCTGCTTGCCTTGTCCCCTGTCCTGGGGATTAGAGCCTGGGGCACACAGGGATGACCACTGCTTCAGTTGGGCTGCACACAGCACAGGCACTCTGCTGGACGCTGGGGATGACAGTGCAGGGGACAGGAGCACACAGGGTCTCTGTCCTCCAGGAGTTCAAGTCTGGAGGGGCAGAGCTGCACATGTTTCGTGGGTCACGCTGGAAATGTTCTGCTGAGATCCAGATTGAAGATGTGGGGCTTGATGGTGGCTGAGTGATCTTCCACAGGGTGGGGGGATTATGGAAGATGTTATAGGGAAGACGGTATCTGAACTGGGTATTGACGAATGCACAGAATTTGGGCAGACTGGCAGGAACAGTTAGGGGGTGACCAAGGTGCCGGCTTAGCCAGAGAAAGAAGGCTGTGTAATCAGGACAGCAAATGGTTAGGTGCGTGGGGAGGAGACAGAGGAGATAAAAACGAGAGGGTGGCACTGTTTCCAGTAAGCTGGGGCCTGCTGTGAAGCAGATTCATTCCCTTCCCCAGGGGAACATACTTGTGCAGGCCTCACCAGCGACAACCTGGCCACCACATCCAACCCCTGGGATCATGCGCTCAGCTGGGCTGGAACACATGCTGGTCAAACCTTGGTGCGGCATGATTGCCTGAGTTAACTCAGTGCAAACTGGGTAGCACTACAAACTGGCTGGAAGGCTTCAGAGCGCCCAGGCTCGGCCCCTCCACTCCCCCTCTTGTCATGTCCTTGAAGACGGACTGGGCTGTGCACGTGGTCATTCCTGCCCCGATGTGGTCCTCTCCTAGCTTATGTTCTGAAAGGGTCAGCCCCCGCTCCAGAGAACATGACCTTGTGATGAAGACCCTGTGGCAGAGACTGCACAGGCAGGCTGCAGCTGGCTTCGTGCAGGTCTGGGGCAGAGTGCTCCCCAGGGCCTGTTCTGTCTGCCTGGAATGGATATGTGGTGTGGCACTTCCCACCACCCGGGGACGGGCTGCTGTCCCCGCTCAGAGGGACCATAGGGCTCTGCCAACCTCACATCGACTGTCTTTTCCTTTCTCCTGGCTGCCTTTCTTTCATTCAGCAGGCCCCTACTGCTTCCAGCGCTCCTTATACATTTGCTACGAATCTTTATTTCTAGATTAGCCACCATGCACACAAAATGGAGCGTCCCTGATTTGAGGAGCAAAAACAGTGATTACTAGATTGGTTCTCTCTCGCAGAATGTGGAGGAACAAACAATGCCACACAATTTTAGTTTGTATAGCGTCTTTCAAACCACGCGATGCCCCGGGCACAGCGCAGAGTTGCTGTAAATAATACAGTCGCCGAGTTAAACATTCTAAACATCTTTGCATTGAGCCTCATTTTGTCCTGCCATACTGGGTCGGGGAGGCTGGAAAGGAAGAGAAGGGGCGGGTCTGGGGGAAAGCCAACAGGGGTGTGGCTGGAGGGGTGGCAGGGAGATGGGGGACTGTGGTAGGGAACTTCTGCTTTTAAACGGCATGCAGTGGGGACAGGTGGGCACAGGTGGTCCTGGAACACACAAAGTAGGCCTGCTTCGGCAGCCCCCTGCCCTTTGCACAGGAAGGGAGAGGTGGAGAGAAGCAGCCCAGGGGGATTGTTCCTTTCCTGGAAGTCTTTAGGGCATCACAGAATGAACATAGGTGGGCAGAGTTGGGGCCTGGCAGTTTGACTCACATAACCATCTGTGGGACTCAGTGTTGTGTCCCTGAACCTTGGTTTTTCCATGACGGTGTGGGATGGGTCAGTAAAAGCCCCTCCAGACCTGATGGTTTCAGAGTCACTGATTCTGGGGCCCCCACAGATCCACCTGGTGTGAAGCCATCAGGGGTTCTGGCCCCCTGCCCCCTGACTGAGGGGAAAGGGCAGAGCCTCCCACCCCCCTTGCTGGCAGGGGAGCCTCCCTTCAGCTCTCACAGCTCTCCCCTGCCCCCCACCTCCCAGGCCAGCTCCGCAGAAGGGGAAGGTGAGCCTGAGGAACTAGATAAGCAGCCTGCCTCTGAAGCTTCCTGTGTGAACTTGGGCAAAAGACAACCTCTCTGACGCTCAGTGTTGCCAACTGTAAATAGGCATAAAGATACCTAGTCACAGGGTTTTGGTGAGGATTCACTGAAATAATATGTGCAACGTACCTGGTATATGGCCTGGCACACAGTGAGGGTACAGTAAATGGTGGTTATTGTTATTTTAATTGTTGGTAATGGTGACCACATCCGCTGAGAGGGAACCCCCTGTGCTGGGAGGAGCACTTGGGGACTGACTGTAGCTGCCTGGGGCACCCAGCTGGGGCTGCCCCCAGGCTGGGCCCCCGAAACTCCCTCTCATTTTCAACTTGCCGGAGTTTTGTTCATGAGCTCCTCCTAATTTGGGTGAAGTGTGCCATATGGAGAGCAGGGAACAGTGTTAAAAAAGCTTTCACACATAGATAGCGCAGCACTTTCTCTGCTAAATGAGGACTGTCTTCCCCAGAGCAGATTTCACACGCCGATCTCCAGAGTGTTGAGTTCCCTCGTCAACAGGGGTGGAGTTGTTCAGGATCTAGCAGCCATTGTCTCTGCCGGCGGGGGCCTGTTCCGACCCCAAGAGAAATCCCATCTTCTTTTTCCTCCCCAGGGGTGAGGGTTTTCCAGCCCTTTCAGATGAGCCAACTGTGCTTCCCAGACCGGGCAGAGCAGGCACGGCGCCCCCCAGCTGCAGGCAGCTGGGTCTCCTGGGGACCCCTCTGGGTGCTGCTGGTGTGTCATGTCTGCGAGGAAGCTGGGCTGTTCTGAATGGAGCCCAAGCCCCCTGTTCCCCAGCCCACGGCATATTCTCTAGAACTTTCCTCCCAGCCAAGACATCTGCTGCAGTGTGACTCCCCACCCTCCCGGCTACTTCTTCCTAGCCTGACGCAGTGTGCCTGTTTCGGTTGTTGAAAATAAGTCTCTTCATTTGTCTGTTGGAGGCTGAAGTGTGCTGGCCTTTAGCTCCCAATGTGGCACCCTTCCTGCAGGGCTCCTGAGCAGCCCCCTTAGCCAACAGACAGTGACTCCTTCCCACTTGTCACGTTATCTGGCTTTGTCTGCCTTGGTGGGGCTGTAGTTAGTTGGGGATCAGTGGGGAACTTGTTTGGCCTCACTGCTTCCTAGTGATAAAAATGATAGTGGTAATCAGCCATTTAGTGAACATTTACTATGTGCTGGGCCCTATATCTTATCTCATTTCCTACATAGAATAACCAGACAGGATCTGTGTGACTATCTGATTTTAAAGAGGAGGAACCTGAGATTCAGAGAGGTTAAGTGACTGATGCAAAGTTGCACAGCTAAGGGGAGAGCTGATGTTCAGACCCAGATTTACTGATGACTCTAAATCTTGTGCAGTTTCCATCAGTTTGCTCTGTTCACCCGTGTCTTAGTGCCAAAACATTATTGCATCCAAAGATGGCCCCACACTGGGGTAGGGGCAAAAACTGCACAGAAATAGGTGCTATGGGAAGGGAATTAGCGTTTTTCCAGGCTGGCTGCCTTCATAGAACGGGGTCCTGTGTTCGGACAGAGAAGTGAGATGCAGCCTGTCAGAGTCTATGACTTTTATCCGGTGGAACTCTGCCACCCACATGCATTTGGCTCTCCTTGGGCCCCCTGCACAGCACTGCGGGGTCTGACTTTACCCCCCCACTGGAGGAAGAGGAGCTTGAAATTGTTTTTGAGATGTTTTCATTGATTTTCTTTAATGCACAAGAACATTTCCATTCACACATGGGCTTAGTTGTGGGGGACAAAAGGAAGGATTTGACACAAATTTAGGGGGCTGGGTGGAGCTCAGGGAGGGAGCCTGAGTGCCTTGTCGATTACTCTTTAATTTATCAGTATTTTCCTGGAGTTCCTTTGCAAAGCCGTCTGCTTAATCTCGCTGCTGGGTGGGGGACTGGAAGAGGAAACGGGGCTTTCCGGGTCCCTTGGCTTCCAAACTGGTTTATGCCGGCAGCTCTACCCCTGCCCTGTTTAAACCATAACCCCAGAGCTGCTCTGTTTTTTTCAGAGAGCACCTGGCCTTCAGGTTAGAGTTCTAGGTCACCAAAAGAAAAAAGTGGGAGAATGTGGTGCCTCCTGTGCCCCAGGTGGGGTGCAGAAGGTGATAGGAGGCCCAGCTGGGAGCATGCTGATGCGTTTGCACCTGTAGTTTATGAGGAAAACAACCCCACACTGTGAAACAGCGTCAGGAGTGTGATAAAGTCCAACAATGCTTACAGATGCAACATAAGTAAAAATAAAAGCAAAACATCGTGGATTGAGTTCTTAAAGAGAGCTGCCAGGATGGGTGACCAGGAGCAGAGGATGACAAGAGGGAGGAAAATATGGATCCCAGCTC